GCGGTGCGCGCTAGCTGCTCTGGTTATTTCACTGTAGTCGACGTAATGGGCGTACAAGGCCTTCAATGGAGTGGTAGAAGCTATACGCACGGATCATCAAAGAATTTCGCGCTTGGGAACTTATGAAAGCTTAATGATGTTCTTTGAAACGTCGTGTCAGCTTCACATAGAAGCGGCCCAGGCAATAAGGAGTCTTTCAGCCGCCCCAAAAGTTTATTCGAAAAGCAGCGAGGTTCCGACGCTTCAGGAATTAAAGGAGGCATTCCAATTAACGAATCACGGCACAAAAAGCATGACCTAAATCGTCGTCTGCAACTACGCAGACCATTTTTGATGCTTTTCCGGAGTTAAATGCCTAGCAACATAACTTAAGACTAATTTTGACGAAGACTGAATTTATCCCGTTTAGGGCCAGTTGACCACTAGCCTAGAAAAATTCGTCACAATTCGCATAACCCAGTTACGCGCATCAAGCGTATCCATAATATTGAGGCATTGCATCAGAGTAGAAACGTTATTAGGAGTTATGAAGTAAAGCCAGGCAGTTAGAGTAACAGAGCCGAATAAGCGCCAAATGCTGCTGGCCATCGCACCAAATTGAATGGCTGAGGCAAGCGAGCGCAGATGTCGGTCCTAATCATGGAATACCTGAAGAGATCAGAGAGAAGCAAGTTTGGCCGAGGCAAGGTAGCTCGTGCAACAAGCCGCTCTTGTGCAGTCTACACAATCGGCGGCGTTCACGAGAGTCTGTAGAGTAAAAGATCCGAGCTCATGTGCGCGGAATGGCTGCCGTTGCTGGTCCAAATGAGCGTAACTTGGTCTTTTTTTGTAATGTCTCATGGGTTTATTCTGCGCCAAGGATGGAAGTTCATAAGAGCATCAGCATCGGAATGATTAAAAACAAGAGGGGAAGCAGGCGATGCGCCTAGGTTTGCTACTCTCCTGGATGAGCGGCAGACACGACTGGAACGCTTGGAATTCTGATATTGGAATCACTTAGAGCTGGAGCACGAACCTCGGAACACGGGAGAGGGGAATGGCATGATATTTGGGGAACTTGCACTAAAATGCCCTTAATTAATGCACTTTGCCTGCGCTCGAGATACTCTCGACTTTGTCGGGGCATCTCGCACTACATTCCGCTATAACTTGTTCACAGAGAGCTCAGGAAATGCTCGGTGTGTTTGCTCCGGCCCTATTTTTTCAGCGCAGCTAGGTGGCAGGAACTTGGAATGGAAAGACTTACATTTTCCTCGCCCAAACCCATTTGTATTCAAAGTAATTATTTATTCATGGAATCGTGTCATAAGTCACATTTAGTATAAATGTCAAATTCTCATCGCTTACTTTGAACCATAAAAAATGGCATTATATTCAACCACGTCTTGCATGACCACTAATAAAATGAGTTTATATTAATGTATTGATAACGAGACAAAACTAAATGAAACTTGCATCAAGGGAGTACAAATTTGTCGTACATCACAATTCACAACAAATAAAATATATCTAGAGTCCTTGTGTACAATTTAGACCCACATAACATGATCGGCAGCAGCGTCTGTATAAAGCTATATAATCTTGCTTCAGTCTGCTTATCAGTGGCTCTAATTGGCTAGGCCTACAGCCTAAAAACTGTCAATACCGAACAAATGAAACCCTTTGTTTTATACCTGAAGATGAAGCTATGCGAGCAAATTCCACAATCTCTTGTGGCACCGTAGCCTCGGGATAGAAGAGTCAGAGCATGGTTGAGTTAATACATGAATTAATTCAACCATGAGTCAGAGCAGTCGCCCACCGTAGGGTGGGTTTGAAGCGGCTTTCGTAAACGAACTCTAACATGGCGAAAAAATAAACTAAAGATAAAATTCATGCTTCAACAAAATCAGGGGAGAGAAACTCTGGCCGCTCGATAATCGCAGTCATGCTTTCCATAATAAATTTTCAAAGCTCCTAGCGGGTACTGGGAGGGACTGGCTCGTGTATGGTTCCTTGGTTGCACGACGATCGCGGATTACGTGAACGCGCTCGAATGTGATAACGAAATTCAACTTCTCTTCAAAAGTTCAAAGAGGCTCTGGCGAAGCCGAATCAACTTCACAAATTAATGCAATAAAAATTAAATAATACTCTCTGCAGATTATAATGGTATGAAAGTTATTAATATATGAAGCATTTTAGAAAATGTATAGAATATATATAATACGCTAAATTTCAGTACTCACCGTTTAGATTGGAGATAATTAGTCCAGATAACTGAGATATGTCACATAACACCTGTGAATAAAAAAAGTATGAAGTTACGATATTCGTGGCAAGAGGATCTAGTCAATAATATCACTAACATTTAACTACAAGAGTAATAATGGATAGCGGGATGTTTAATTAATTTCCAAACGCCGCCCGACACATTTTATTACTCACAAGCTTGCCGACATCCGTCAATACATTCGTGTTGCTGCCCCGCATTATGATTACTTTCAAAGCTATACGTATTAACTAGCCCATTCGTCATTTTGTCATTTTTGAATCTCGGAGCTTCATAATTTATCTCAGAATGCTATTTTTTGATGCAATTTATAAAATTTTTGGTTGCTTTTGTGGTGTGGCTATTTTGGATGGAATCAGCCCATCTTCACTCTATTTCAGTTACAACTTGTATTTCATTGCCATTAATCTTGGTACCGCTACCGTTACATTTGCACTCTGTAATAATACAAAATTCAGAACAACTAGACAATGCCAAGATAATAAGCAAGAGCGAATTCAAAATCGAAGCTAAAATTCTAATCAGATAGACTGGATTTATTTGTACAGTGGTTCTTCGACCGGGTATGCGGTCCGCAGGCGCGGTCGAAGAACCACTGACTTACCACAATCCTCTTTACCCTACGGCTTACCAAAAAACTATATTATTAAAGTCTTGATTTATTCTACTATTTCTTATCTTCTCACCAGATCGTACAGTTTCAATCATTATACGCAGATGCTAACGTTTACCGTTAAACCTCACCTTCTTAGAATTTTTTAATCACTGTCCCTTTGTCAAACTTCATAGCAAACGCAACGACAACATTTTGCGTCAACTACGGTAAGCATTTTCCACTCCCCGCTGCATAGACTATACGATCTAAAAAACTGGTTGGGCTGTCAAAATGGTGACAATCTGAGTTCAAAATGCCTATTGATCATCGTAATTTTTTTTTCACCATGTTGACTTGAATTTATAACATTCTACAACTTTACAACTCTTTACAAATTCGAACTTTATACAAGTATACAAATATACTCATGGCTTATATAAGGTCCCAGAAGGATTACTAGAATTTGAAACAAGAACCAACACCAGGGGCCACGGCTATAAACTAAAGCAAATTACGGAGCAGACAATAAGTCCAGCAGCTATCTCAATCAATCGTCAGTTATGGAAAGATCGGGTTCCAAAGGCCGGATCCCTTGTGAATCAAGTCACGAAAAGTTCAAGAATCGGCAACAGGCCATGGGCCTATGTCTTCAACGCCGACACTTCTATTCTATTCTAATTTCTAACATATGTTTTATCCGGTTTGGGAAGAAACCTTGCTGGAGAATTTTCATTTCCCCTCATTTTTAAAGAATATAGATTCTAAAAATTAAACTCCAACATAGATGAGAACCAAACTGACATTTTATAACTCCATATGTTTATTTTAAGTACAATTTTTGCCCGAAGTGACAAATGCTCGTCAATTTGACAGAAATAACTATTTTCAACATCCTTAGCTAATTTATCTCATTAATTCGTGATTTCATTAAAAGTTTCCTCTCTCTATCATTCGCATCATTTATCAAACCAACTACGTAGGTAGCTATCAAGCCGATTATCATTTTTTAATACTTACTTCGCCAGTATTAGCGTTGTCCCAACGCATTCAGCGCCATAGTTCAACCATGTTCGGCGTCTGCTTGACATCCGAAACTATATTCTCACTACGTAAGGACGCTGCAATATTCATGACACTTATTTCAAATACACTTCGCCTCGTTATGTTTCACACCATCATCGAATCGTCACATCGACTCGTCTCGGTTTAAAGTTTATTAAATGACAGAGTTTGAGACGTAACACATGAATTGAATACCATTGGCCATTTGAACGAAATTTTACAGCAGTCTGTTTATTTTCAGTGTTCACGAAACGAAAAAAAATTCGGAATTTTCTGACGCAATAACCTAGATTGTTAGGCATGTTGGTGACACTACTGGCAATTAAATTTTTTCCGTGAAAGACAAATTCAGCGAGTAAATTAAGTTATTAAATTTAAAATATACATGTTGGTTATTTATCGAGAAATATGGGCTATCCAGTAAACAGACAAAATAGATTTTGCAACTTAAGAAGATAATGCTACGTGATTTCCAATTAATAATAACCCTTTCATATAGTTTATCTTAAAATCGTCTTATGTTGGCTCAACACTCGAGATGCTCTTCCAATTGATGGTTATAAGAGCAAAATGCACCAGTCTTTTGAATAGGCTCACGTACGTCAGTGGACGCACCCATGGTTGAAATAATCGTCAGCTCATGAGCGGGGCGGTCAATTATTTGCCGAAAATTAGAACCTTCCGTACTTACGATTTTCCAAAGCGCATCCACCAGCCTAACTTTTAGCAGCATCAAATTGAGGAAATAATATTTCCCCGGTGAGGTCTCGTACGCTTTCTTAAATCTTCATCAACGTCAAACTCAACTACTTTGAGTCGTTTTCAGTTTCAAGCCTATGCTAGAAGAATATCTACTACAGTTCATTAAAGCTTTCTCAATAATTTTATCCAGAACCAAAAATCTGATGCAATATTCACATCTGTTTAATACTAGAAACAGAACCTAAGCGCCGAAAGATATCGGTCTTCCTTGAATCTTACACTCAAATTACTGATATTAGATACTACTTCTCGAGTTCGACATGGAGACTAATCATAAAACAAAAGAACATAATGTGATGAGAAAAACCATTTTGGGATAGAACTTTACTGATTCCACAACGAACATTATTCCGTTTTGGCAACGAAGTTGATTTAGCGACGAACTTTGACTTTGCTCTTCTCTTTCTCTGCCTTTTGTCTCTCGTAAATGGCCCGGATTTTGCGCTTGATAAGCTTCTTTCTGAAGGTGGCCTTGGCACCGGGGTTGAGTGCCTTCTGAGGAGCATACTTGGCCCGTTTGATCTCATCCTGCGCGCGCATGTCGTCGTCCGAGTCCATGTCATTACGCAACATCGTGTCCAGCTTCCTAACGAGCTGTGATGACGGGCCTGCCTTGCTCTTCTTATGCACAGATGATGATGCCGCTGCTGCTGATGCAGAGCTTAGCGATTCAGGCAGGTCCTAAGTATATAACGGCATCGAGTTCAATAATAATAATAAGGGAGGTAATTCATGCTATAATCGTAGCTAAACTTAGTCAAGAGCATTTGTTCACAAGTGATGATTCATAATAAGCACTCAAGGCATGCAATATTCCGTTGAAACATAGCATCGTACCATTACAGTTGCTTTATCAAATAATATTTCAAAAGTGAAAATTCATTTCTTGGCGAAAGTCTAACATATTACGAAAAAGATGAAATGCACCGAGGTTGACATGTAAGGTTAAAAGTTTCAGCCCACCTCAATGTCCCTCTCTTGTTCCTCATCTTCGCTCTCGTCAAAATCAGCGACATATTCGACGTGCCCAGTCTCCTCCGTATCTTCTTCTCCGTCATCCTCGTCCTCATCATCTCCAACTTCATCGCCATCATCGTCAATGCTCTCGTCATCGCTGTAGTCATACTCTGCCATGTCACTGTCTTCGTCCTGCAAGTCCCACATGCATAAGCATTAGTCAACATAAATAAAAAAATTTAAAGACAGGCACGTAAATTCATTTATAATCAAATGTCAGCAGATTGAATTCCTATCTTAATGCAGGAGCCTCAAGTAAACAATTACCGTGGCAAGTTTGATTATTCACTAATAATGAAAGTAACACTTGCGTACATGAAATTTATACCATAATACTGCAAGACTTATACCTTGTTTCAATGAATTATGAAATAAGTTAATTATAAAGAAACTTTGACTGCCCATGCCACTAACCGACTCCTGATTCCTCTGCATCCTGACAATGCCTCGCTCAAGCTCCTCCCTGAGCTCCTCATCTTGGACCTCCTCGACTTCTTCTTCCTCTTCCTTAATGGCAAGCTTCTGCTGCTTCTTCAGCTCCTCCACGTCCTCCTCCAGCTCCTCTTCCATTTCCTCTTCGTTCAAACGAACATCAAACGCTTGCTTAGGGAAGTTGTAGATCCGCTCATACTGAACACAAAAAATTGAAACATGAAAATAGAAATGTTTTTCAATACCAACACTGAATACAAGTGAATGCTAATGAAGACCTTAATTTGAAAGAAAATCGATTATTCATAATTATACTTTCGAAACGGCACAAAAGCAATTGAAAATATAGGAGAACTAAGTTATATATAAGCACAAGGGAATCCGATGTGTCTATTTAATGATATACGTATAAGGGTTATTTGCAATGGTTTAACTAGCAACATTTCACTGGCGAATATGAATTTTTGTACAAATATCAATTCATTTATGCATATAAATAATAAATATATTATTTCATTTCACTGGCGAATATGAATTTTTGTACAAATATCAATTCATTTATGCATATAAATAATAAATATATTATTTACCTAATAATAAATATATTATTTACCAGATACAAAAATACAAAATATCCATGAACTTAGTAGGCATTTCCTACATTTTTTTCATGATAAAAATCTATAATTGTAGGAGGAAATCAAGGTACTATAGAAAATTTTACTGATTGTCAGCTCAGACAATTTCAACATTCACAAATTTTAGGCAATATTATAGAGATACCGTACATTAAATCTTTAATCAAATTATATTAAACAAACAAACCAATAAGGCAAATAAAAACCAAAGGAAACATCTCTCTACTGGAATTTTTAACGCAATACTGATAATTAAATTCAGGCACAGTTCAAGCATGCTTGAAGAACTATATCATGAACACACCGTGCCCTCCTTGAGGCGCTCAAGGAGCTGCTTCTCGATGGCGTTGTCCAGCTTGGCTGCGATGAGCGCCTTCTCCTCGCGCTTTTCTAGACGACGCTCAACTTTACGGCGAACTGGCACCAATTTTTTCCTTCACAATTAGTAAACTTTATTTTAAGTGTGCAGTGACTTATGAACATACAATGTTTGAATAACTAAATACAATTTATATGGTTTGCTACATCACTAAGTTTATCCAGATCTTCCAAAAATATAAATACATCCTTTCACAAAACAAATGATATAAATTAACCCTAATTGCCACTTATATACGGTACATGTACATGGTAGTTGGAAAAATATTAATATGAGACAGACAGTTTTGATCACCAAAAATAGATAAATTGTCTAAACAAAATGTGAATTTTACAGAATGCACCCATTTTACCAACATAAAGAATTAAGCAATATATCTTATTATCTAGTGAGAAATTGGACAATTGAACGAATTAAATAAAAGTAAAAATCTCACCACCTGAAACAAATGTTCAACTGATGACCAAATTCTATGTGATGCAACACATCAGTAAACCAAATACCTACGTATTATTTAATTTCATCTTGCGCATGCGGGCAAGATATTGTGTGATCTTCAGCAATCGTTGCCGACATTTTTGCTTGAAATAATTGGGCCAGAAAACGAGGTTGTCCTCTATCTGCTGCAGTGCTGTGATGAAAGTCTTTGAGAGTTTTATCCTCATCCACTCCTTATGAGGGGTGTACACTCTGAAAATAAGCCCCAGTCAATGTTTTCATTATATTTTGTGTCAGCAATATTGTATATGGTCAGCAATATCTCATCTTTTCAACAATATTGTAAATGGTCAACAACATTGTAGCTGACTAAATGACAGCAATCCAATCCAGGGTTAGCCAACCCTGTCATAATGTTTCTTAGTTATTTCTTAATGAAAGAAAACAAGAACAAACACCCAAAAAAAAAGAGGCAATAAAGAAACCAAATGATGGCCTTACATGCTAATTAACTTGTAGGTGATGAAAAGTGTATAATTCAAACAAACAACAAGAATACCATGAAGAATACTACAGACAAAAGGAAACAGCATGTCACTGAAATAAGTGCAACAAAATAAATAAAAAAATATATCATAATTATTAAACTAACTCCAGTTAAGCTAGTAAGAAATGATAATGCTGAGAAATTAAATACATTTTCAAATGGATCCCAAAAAAGGAAGACTACTGAATTATTTCTAAATTAGTACAGGCTAAATTATAATAGTATTATTCACAGCCTCAAGAGCACTATATGTTATGATTGCAAAGTACACCAGTCTGCAACATATTTCTTTTGTGTATAATTTTAGTCATGAATTTAATAAATATCAGAACAACATACAACAAATTACAGTCAAAACTGGCAGGAAGTAATAAATAAGCTGAATTTATATTGGAAATAAAATTCAAGGTAGAAGAAGTTTATGAATATTTTCACCTTTCAGCCTCTCTGATGAAGAGATAGATGACACCCTTCTTCTCCCTGACTGTAGCATAGCGACTGTTGGCCAGGGGACAAGACTTGCGATTGCACAAGCCTGTCACATTGTACTGATTGCGGCAGAACCATTGTGTCTCAGTCCTTGAGGAAGAAATAGTAGTCAAAAACATGGTAAAACAAGTCATTAATTAGTAAAAAAAATCAAATGTGCACTCTCATTTGGAAAATTGAAAAAAAATTGGAGCCTGAATTGAGATACTATCTTAAAATGCATATTTATAAATCTTGCATGTAATATTTCAAGTTTTTAGCAAAGATTTTGTATTAAAAAAAGAAAGACAAGATAAAAAAGAGAAAATTAAGAACAGAAACACAGAAAATTCAAACTTAGGCTGTTGATTTATCTTATTAATAATTTATAAGACAAACTTACTTAATTTTATAGGAGCAATGATGCTTGTTGATGATGCTCCAAGTCACCTAAAAAATAAAGGAATATATTAATCATAAACATGGAAGACTAATAAAGCTCATGAGAGTTAGGTGGTATTGCAGTGTGGAATTGGGACAAAAAATTGAGACATGGCCATTGTAATTTGTAACGGCTGAAATTTGCCAGATTGATAGGGTAAACGCACCATATTCTGACATTGTGGGTAATTCCGACACTTCTCAACTTTTTCCTTTATATTAAGCTTTGTCTTAGTTCCACGCATGCGTAGATGGTTGAAATAGTGACGTTATACTATTGTGCTCAATATTTCCGCAAAACACTAGGTCTGGCAGGAAAATGTTAAGATCCTCAAAGCGAAAGTCCTGGTCACCCAGTGGCCAGTGAGAACATCAAAACATGTGTCAAAGTTGATAGTTGACTTTGCTTTACCAAATAGTGATTAACTGTTTGTGTAGAAAGAATATTATGGTTTGAGACTTTTAAATAAGTCTGTGAATATATTAGGAATACTTTAAGTATATAGTCAGATGGGGTAAGACAGGACCGAAATCACTAACAAGCCTGTAGCATCTATACCATGAATAACTAAAAAAACCCTAAACCTATCACAAGGTGTAGTTATGCAATGGGCTTCTAAGCTACAACTCAGACGTTTTGCATCTAACATAGTTTTCTGTACAGATAAAAAAAGTGAGCTGGTCCCATCTTACCCCACTGGGGTAAGATGGGACCAGGCATGGGGTAAGACAGGACCGACTGGCAATTCTTATGTTACAAGGTTTTTAATAAAAGTACAAATCTGATATTAAATATTATCCATCTAGAAACACATTATTTGATTACTCAACCACTTGTTACCGTTTTGTATTGCGGGAAGTCAACTCTAATATCAGTCACATTGAAGTTTTTGTCATGAGAAAACTTTGTTAAGCTTAGTAATAGTGGGTTGGCTTTGGTTCATTGTAGAACACTGCTAAATGCTTCATGTATGTTCCATTAGTGTCATTGTCTGAAAAATGTATCAAATTGGCAATAAAACCAATGGATAATAACTTAAGTTAAAGTGTCAGACATCATGTCATGTGTTTTCTTGCTAACTGCATTTGTGGTGCACTTCTTCAAACATAGCTCATGCCCTGTCACAGAGTTGTGATCATAATTATTTTTCATGTTTCACACAGTGATTTTTCCCCCAGCCAATCTTGCACATACTTGTTCTGCAGCTCACCAATGGGAAGAGACATCCCTATTTTCTATATTTCTTTGATGCAATTTAAAATAATGCACTAAATTTCTCTAATTAAAAAAGCTAGCAAGTTACAATGAAGTTTGAGCAAAAGATAAAAATTTTTACCAAAATACTCCATGTACTTCACAATAATATTCATTTAAAAATTATTTTTGATAAACTGTAGGGTAATAGAGGACCATTTGTGGGGTAAGACAGGACCATTTGTGGGGTAAGATAGGACCACTTGTGTGGTAAAACAGGATCATTTAGTGGTCCTATCTTACCCCATGTCCGGTCCTTTTTTACCCCATTTTAGAATACATGTCAAACAGTGATGGTAGCAGGTAGGAATGCATAGTATATCTAAAAAGTGGCCTATTACTTGAGGTTACCTGCCTACATCCACAAACCTGGCCAAAAAATTTTTTGTCATTAGATAGAGCTTATTTCCCAAACAGGGTTAACTATTTTGTGGCCCTTCTTTACATAGGTTTTCTTTAAAAATTAGCCAGAAATTCATTATTTACAGAAAAGGGTTGCAACAAACACTGAAATGACAGGCAATTATTGCTCTAACATATTTTTTTGTCAAATTGAATTCAGTGCAATTAGAATGCATGCCATGGGCCGGTCCTTTCTTACCCCATGAAGGCTGCGATCCTGTCTTACCCCATTTGACTATATATAACATATTCCTTACATAGACATACAGGTTTGTACTATTTGCCAAAATCAGTCCTTCCTTAGAAGGCACCAATCCCAAGCCATGTGGATTGTTGCCTTCTATTTTTCCGTTTGTAATTCATGTCCAACCAAATTGTGATCTTTGAATAATGAATAAATATTCATAACTGTGCCAACTCTTAGAACCTGGGTAAGGCTGGGTTAACACATTAGAAATCTGGTCAATTCAATGCAGATA